GAGGGTTTAGGAAGCCGGGTTCAGGGATTCAGGGTTCAGGGTTTAAGGCTTTGGGTTTAGGGCTTAGGGTTTAGGGCTTTGGGTTCAGGGTTTAGGAAGCCGGGTTTAGGGTTCAGGGTGCAGGGCTTTGGGTTTAGGGTTCAGGGTTTAGGGGGTTAAGGGCTTTGGGTTCAGGGCTTAGGGCTTAGGGATTGAGGGTTTAGGGTTCAGGGTTGAGGGTTTAGGAAGCCGGGTTCAGGGTTTCAGGCTTTGGGTTTAGGGCTTAGGGTGTAGGGCTTTGGGTTTAGAGTTCAGGGTTTAGGGTTCAGGGTTTAGGGTTTAGGGTTTAGGAAGCCGGGTTCAGGGGTTCCGGGTTCAGGGTTTAAGGCTTTGGGTTTAGAGCTTAGGGTTTAGGAAGCCGGGTTCAGGGTTCAGGGTTTAGGGTTCAGGGTTTAGGGTTTAGGGTTTAGGGTTTAGGAAGCCGGGTTCAGGGGTTCAGGGTTCAGGGTTTAAGGCTTCGGGTTTAGGGCTTAAGGTTTAGGGCTTTGGGTTCAGGGTTTAGGGCGTAGAGGGTTTAGGGTTTAGGGTTTAGGAAGCCGGGTTCAGGGTTCAGGGTGTAGGGCTTTGGGTTTAGGGTCCAGCGTTTAGGGTTCAGGGTTTAAGGTTTAGGGTTTAGGAAGCCGGGTTCAGGGGTTCAGGGTTCACGGTTCAAGGCTTTGGGTTTAGGGCTTTGGGTTTAGGGCTTTGGGTTCAGGGTTTAGGGCTTCGGGTTGAGGGTTTAGGGTTCAGGGTTGAGGGTTTTTTTGAAGCCGGGTTCAGGGTTCAGGGTTTCGGGTTTAGGGTTCAGGGTTCAGGGTGTAGGGCTTTAGGTTTCGGGTTCAGGGTTTAGGGTTCAGGGTTTAGGGTTAAGGGTTTAGGAAGCTGGGTTCAGGGATTCAGGGTTCAGGGTTTAAGGCTTTGGGTTTAGGGCTTAGGGTTTAGGGCTTTGGGTTCAGGGTTTAGGGCTTCGGGTTGAGGGTTTAGGGTTCAGGGTGGAGGGTTTTTTTGAAGCCGGGTTCAGGGTTCAGGGTTAGGGTTGAGGGTTTAGGGTTTAGGAAGCCGGGTTCAGGGTTCAGGGTTTAGGGTTCAGGGTTTAGGGTTTAGGGTTTAGGAAGCCGGGTTCGGGGGTTCAGGGTTCAGGGTTTAAGGCTTCGGGTTTAGGGCTTAGGGTTTAGGGCTTTGGGTTCAGGGTTTAGGGCTTAGGGTTGAGGGTTTAGGGTTTAGGGTTTAGGAAGCCGGGTTCAGGGTTCAGGGTTAGGGTTGAGGGTTTAGGGTTTAGGAAGCCGGGTTTAGGGTTTAGGGTTTCGGGTTTCGGGTTTAGGGTTCAGGGTTTAGGGTTTAGGAAGCCGGGTTTAGGGTTCACCCACAGAGCCCAAATACCCTTTAAATAAGGAATCTAACTTAAATCTGAATATGAAGCCACTTATAGTTTAAGCTATATTCCTAAGTTAAGCTGTATTGGGCTACCTGGGCAGGGTTGAGGGTTTAGGGTTTCGGGTCAAGGACTTAGGATTTCGGGTTCAGGGTTCAGGGTTGAGGGTTTAGGGTCTCGGGTTTAGAACTTAGGGCTTAGCGCTTCAGGTTTAGGGTTTAGGGCTTTGGGTTTAGGGTTTAGGGCTTAGGGTTTAGGGTTTAGGGCTTAGGGTTTAGGGGCTGAAAGAAAGCGTGTGGGTACAGGTTTTGCAGGTTTCCGAGGGTTGTAGAGGTTGCTTGCATGTTTCTACACCTTAACCCTAAACCCTAAACCCAAGAGAACTGCATGGAAGTCAGATGGTGATTTGGTTGTCTTGTCGCAGGCTTCGGGTTTCGGGATTCAGCAGCCAATGCCCAATCACCGAAGGACCTGTAAGGTTTAGAATAAGTTCTCTTGGGTTTAGGGTTGAGGGTTTAGGGTTTAATGTTAAGGTTTAGAGTAAGTTCTCTCTTCGCGTTTCTTTGGGCTTTTCGGTCCTGTGGCTTATGGATGTTGGCTCATGCACTGGCGACGATAGCATCTGAGAAGGTGCTGAATCCCAAACTCTGAATACTGGGCCGTAAAGGCGGCTTCTCCAAGGCGGTCTGCTTGGTGTTCACATTGAAGTAGAAGTACGACGCGCCTTTGGGATCAACTCGAACCCATTTTTGCCATGGGCCCGCCTCGCCGACATCATCGTTCACCGGCCTAATCGGTGAGAACTCCGTCGGCTTCTCCCGCGTCGACAGCCTGGCCGATGGGTTGATCTGGTACACGGCGGTGTCGTACTTCTTGAACCAGCCATTGACGGAGGAGCCCTGAGCGACACCCTACACGCTAACCCGGAAATTGATCGCAAGACTTTCTTAGCTGAAAGTTTAGTTGCTGAGGGCTAGGGCTCCAACCTGTTTATGAGGCTTAATGGGAACGTTGGCACGGTCTCCATGACTTACTCATTGGGTTCAAGAAGCCCTCAACCTTACACCCTGAAACCTAAATCTTACATCCGAAGCCTTAAGCCAAAAAAACAAAATCCCGATCCGATGGTCAAAGAACCCTTCTAGAACCCTGGCAACATCCTAAGCTCTTAAACTCTTAAACTTACACTCACGGTTTAAGGCCTAGGGTTTAGTTAGAATCCGTTCAAGCACCGCAGAGTTTCGGGTTTAGGCTTCAGGTCTTGACACACACCCGGACAGAAACCCCATATCGCACCCCCCCAACTCCCCGCGCCTCAAGAAACAGCCCCAGGCGTCGTTGTAGATGAAGGAGTTGCACAACCTGAACCAGAAGCCCAGAGAGCCCAAGACAGCTTAATTAAGGAATACCTTAAGAACCCAAAACCCACTTTTTTGTAGGTTCTTATTATAGACCCTAATATGGGATTTATAGGGACCCTACAAAAAAGTAGGTTTTGGGTTCTTAAGGTATAGCTTATTAAAATTTAAGGGGCTTCATATTAAGGTTTAACCCAAGACCCTAAACCCTAAACCCTAAACCCTGAGCCGCTGACTAAACCCTAAACCCCTAAAGCCTAAACTCATACTAAGATTCAAGCTCCATTCCTTCTTTAAGGGGTATTGGGTTTACGGTTTAGGGTTTAGGGTTTAGGGTTTCCTGCCATGACACCCTAAAACAACTTTTCTAAACCCTAAACCCCTAAACCCCTAAACCGTGGCTCAAAGCTGCAAGCTCCAGAACAGTCAAGTCCCAAAACCCCAAAAGCCTATAACCCAAGCTGTCGTGGTTGGGGCATCGCTTTTCTGACGGGGGACTGTAATCTTGGACGCAGAGAGCCCAGTACCCTTAAATAAGGAATATGGCTTGAGGGTTTAGGGTTTAAGTTTTTTTTTAGGGTTTAGGCTTAAACCTTAAGATGAAGGCCCTTATAATATAAGCTCTATTCCTTAGTTAAGCTGTATTGGGCTCTCTGGGGACAGGTGCGTTCTGTTCTTGTGCCGAGCCGTGTGAGAACAGCTTGCAGGGCCTAGGGTTTCGGGTTTAGGGCTGCGGGCTTAGAAGGCTCAGGGTTCAGGGGTTTAGGGTTTAGGGTTTTAGGGTTTCAGGATTTAGGGTTTAGGGTTCAAGGTTTGAGGGTTCAGAGTTTAGGGTTTAGGGTTTAGGGTTTAGGGCTTTAAAGCTTTATATAGGGCTTTAGGGCTTTAGGGCTTGAGGGCTTTAAGGCTTTAGGGCTTCGGGGCTTTAGGATTTTAGGGTTTAGGGGGTTGTTGTGAAAATACCCGACCAACGCATTAGCTCTGATGAACTGTGTTTCAACCGTTCTCTTCTTCAATAACTGGGCCCGAAAAAGCTCAGAGCTTGAAAAAAGAGAGAGACCAAATATACAGAACCGAAAGTGTCAAGTTCTCCCACTGGCTGTCTAAGACCCAAAGGCTCCGCCCACTGTCCGTGCCGAAACGGTGAAATCAGTTCGCAATGTCCTCCGACCCTAGCAATCTGAGGAACAGAGGAGGCCTGGGTGGAAATTTAATGCAGGGGCCTTAATTATTTCTAGTAGGGTTTAGGGTTTAGGGTTTGGGGTTTGGGGTTTAGGGTTTAGGGTTTAGGGTTTAGGGTTTAGGGTTTAGGGTTTAGGGTTTAGGGTTTCTAGAATAAGGAACCCCCAAAACTCCTTACCTAAACCCTCAACCCTAAATCCGGCCCAAAACCCCATTCTACTTATTAAGGCCCCTACAGTAGGGCATCGACTTGGGGTTTATAGAATTCCAAAGCTTAGGTTGACAGCTTCGGAGTTCGGCATTCGGTGAGTTTAGTGAAGTTTAGTGCTTGGGTTTCGGGCCTCGGGCTCTTAGACCCCAAAACCAAACCCCCAAACCCTGAACATCCAAGAACCCTCAACCCTGAGCGGAAGATGTTGTGATCCTGAACCCCGATGCTTCAACAAACCCTGAACCCCAAACCCACACCCTTAAACCCCAAACCCTCAACCCCTAAACCCCTAAACCCCTAAACCCCTAAACCCCTAAACCCCTAAACCGCTAAACCCCTAAACCTTAAGCCCTAAACCCTAAAGCCCCCTAAACCGCTTGCAGCCGGGAAGCTCATCCGCGCTACACATGGCCTTGCAGAAAGTGACGGAGCCTTAGAGCCACCGCTGCAAGCCCCGGGTTCTTCTAAAGAATCCGTGTCGGTTTAGGGTTTAGGGTTGAGGGTTCAGGGTTTAGGGTGATGTTTTGTGGGTTTATATGAGTCGTTCTAAGAATTCGCATCTAACGGTTTCTGTGGGTGTATATAATGTGCGCTTAAACGAAACTTGTGCATTTATGATTTCTGCGTGTGTAAGGCTAGCAAAGCTTATGGGCTATCGGCATGGATTATCATGTCTGGGTTAGTCAAATTTGTACTTATAGGGGCTGTACGCAGCCTTATCTGCGCTCGTAACCCGTTCTAGAAAGGGGCATGGTAGGTTTGCTAGGGCTGCTCTCCCCTGCCTAAGTTTGGGGCCTAAACCCTACACCCTAAACCCTAAACCCTAAACCCTAGTTCCAAGAGAACCCGAAAGCTCTTAGCTAAGCAATGCACCCAAAGTGGAGATAGATCACAGGGATGCTTAAGGGTATTGTCTTGAAAGCAAGACCTCTGGGGGTTGTGGCGTAGGCTCCAGATTGATAAACCCCTGGGCCTTAGTGAGGATCAGAATGGGGAGCTTAACATTAACGCGTTTAAAGTCAAAGGCAATTTAGGGTTCAGGGTTTGGGGTTAGATACAAGGGCCTAACTAATTACCAATACTATCTTGAGGGCCCCTTAGTATAGTTATAGTATAATAGGCCCCAAAACCCTATTCTAATTATCGAGGCCCCTATAGTATATCTCTATAGACCCTTATAAGACCCTTGTAGTAATCCTTTAAAGGGGAACCCTATTAGGCCCCTACAGTAGGTTTCTAGGGTTGGTCCTATGCGGCCTGAATGATTCGCGACACTAATGAATAGGGATTGGAAGGGTTCCTGATTATGATTATAATATAATGTACCGCCAAACCCTATCTTAATTATTAAGGCTCCTTTTCCCAGAGACTCCAATATCCCTTAATTAAGGAATTTGCCTTAAATTATAGCAGGAGCCCTAATAAAATTTAAAATATTTTCCGTAATTAAGTGATATTGGAGTCTCTGGGCATAGTAAACCCGAAACCCTAAACCCCAAACCCTAAACCCTGAACCCTAAATAATTATAGTAAAATATACCTCCCAACCCTATCTTAATCATTAAGGCCCCTATGCCCCTATATCACATTGGTCTTGTACCGGCTTTCTGGGGCAAAGGATGTCGGGCTCGAGGGCTTATCTGGGTGGGCTTGAACACGGTTTAGGGTTTAGGGTTTAGGGTTTGGGGTTTAGGGTTTGGGGTTTAAAGTTTAGGGTTTAGGGTTTCGGGTTTAGGGTTTAAGGTTTTGGGCCTGGGGCCCTGCCCCCCCCCTGCCCCCCCCCCCGTCCTCCCACCCAAACCGCCTCCGAGCCCCCCCAAACCCGCAAGGCTTGAACCCCCGCACTCTCATGGCCCA